AACCAACTTTCTCATCCAGTCTGCAGTGATGAGAGTTTATGCGGTTCTTCAGTAATGAACCTCAGAGCAGAGTAATAGACTGAGTCCAGCGGTTTGAGAGAACTGGCAGATATGTGTTTGTAAATTACATGACCATAGTCCATGACAGACAGTAAGGCTGCCTCAACTATTCTTTTTCTAGCATACATGAGGAAACAGGATTTATTTCTATATAGGTAACTGAGCTTCTGTCTACATTTGCCCACCAATGTATTATTATGGGGTTTAAAAGTGAGTTTATCACCCAGCCATATGACAAGGTATTTATACTCTGTGACTCTCTTGATGTTGGATCCTGTCAGGGTAGTGATATTTACAGAATTAAAATCAATATTAGTAGATCTGGAAAACAGCATGAACTTAGTTTTCTTGACATTTAAAACCAGTTTGTGTTTACACAAAGCAACCTGTAGAACATTAAATGAGCTTTATAGTTTTCTTATTGCAGCATAAACAGAGTCAGCTGAACGGTATAAAGCTGTGTCATCTGCATACAGGTGTACTTTGCAGTCAGAGGCAGAGGCAGCAAGTCTATATATATATATATATATATATATATATATATATATATATATATATATATATATGACTGATAAAACTGGGCCCAAAATTGAACCTTGTGGTACTCCTTTGGATATAGTCAAATAATCTGATTTGTAATTACTCAGTGCTGCGCATTGTTGTCTGTCTGAAAGGTAATTTGGGGTCCATTTTAGTGCGTTTGTATCAAAGCCAATCTTTTGTAAGTTCCTTAAAAGAAGAGTGTGATCAACTGTATCAAAAGCCTTTGATAAATCAATAAAAATGGCAGCACAATGCTTCTTCCTGTCTATGGCCATATAGAGATCATTTAAAACCAGTGTGGTAGCAGAGATGGTGCTGTGTCTTTCTCTAAAGCCAGACTGATAATTAAACAGGACAGAATTTTCATATAGAAATGATTTAAGTTGACTATTTACTAGAAATTCTAAAATTTTAGCTAAACAGGACAGTTTTGAGATTGGTCTGTAGTTATTTACATCTACTGCCTCACCTCCTTTATGCAGTGGAGTTACATGAGCTATTTTCCAGATCCTGGGAATTCTGCATGATAAAACAGAGAGATTTAAAAAATATATGTTATGTATTCTAAAATAACTGGGGCTGCCAGACGCAGGAAGTACTGGTGAGGATGGGCTGGACCCTTAGTTTTTTGTGGATTAATAGTAGTAAGAGATTTAGCTACTGTGATTGGAGAGAAGGGCTGGAGTGTGAAGAAACCATGGCTCTGGGTAGCAGTACAGTTGATGTCAGTTCGACCTAACAGCAGATTCGAGTCAGTATTTTCAAAAATGTGCCCAACCTCAGCAAAATGTGTGTTAAAAGCTCTACAGATTTCCTTCTGATCAGATATCAGCTGATCATTAACTATAATGCTGGTTGGAAGGGTAGAGAATTTTTTTACGGGATTTTACAGTTAAAATCCATTAAAAGTTTTCACTTCTTTGATATTTCTTTTTGATAAAGAGCTGGTCCTGGGTCTTCTACCCAAAGCTACAGAAATACTTGAGTTTGAGGTTTGTAATAGTCATCTGGAGTTAAGGGAGAATAAAATATATTGTGGCCCAATATCTGTGAACCCAGCCTTTTGGGATGAATCCCGTCAACTCTATAAAAAGAAGGGCGGTTCCAGAAAAGGTTAAAATTGTGAATAAAAGTCAAGTCTTTGCAGAGGCAGGTTTTTGGTCTGAAGGTTTAAAATGTGGTTAAAATGTCCTGAACCTCTTCCCAGTGACAGAATTGGTAAAGAGATAAAAACAGATTTACCACAGTCTTGTACAGAAGACAGCAGGCTTGTGAAGTCCTTTTTTAGCAGTTCTGTGTTCTGATTTCTAAAATCATTACATCCCACATGTATTACTATCTTCTTCACTGAGTCGTTTTTCTTTAGAAGACTGGGGAGCTGCTGTGTAATGTCAGAGGCTTTTGCACTAGTGATAGAGTGAACTACAGCTGTGTGGTGCTTAACGTTTCTGATGATTGAGTCACCTACTTTTAGTGTGGATGGAGGAGGGTTGCAGGTTGAGGCTGAGGCAGGGATTGATGATGGGTTTGTGGCTCGGTAACCAGTGGTGGTGGGAGACGAGCGGTTGGCGCAGCAGAATTCCGGTGTGGGGAGCGGCGGTCAGGCTGTCAGTGTGGGAGCTGTGAGGGAGCTCGGCAGAGTGGCCATGTGGAGGTGGAGGTGGAGATGGCCTGAGGAGGTTTGGCTGTCTGGCCGCGTCCAGCTAAGAGGTGGAGTGGCGGGCTTGTTGCACAGTTGGGTTCCCGGATGGAACAGTGGTGAAGTTTATGGCTGGAGAGCTCACTTCTGCACTGACAATTGTTTGCCAGCAAAAGTGGCCTCTTCCAGCTCTTCCAACACAGAGAATCTGTTGCTCAGGTGAACCTTTTGTGGAATCTGGTGGCGGGCGGAGCGCCTGCCACCATGCAAACCCCCACCTGCAATGGACCATGGCTCAGTCTGGTGCGGCGTGGAGCAGCACACCTCCCTGGCCTTGGGTTTAGCTCCTAGCTGAGGCCAGTGATCCTTGTCCTGGACAACTGTAGCAGCCACTCGAGGAAGACTGCCGCCTAGCCCGGTGCTGATTGCCTGCGTTGTAGCCAGCAGGGAGTCAAGGAGATCCTCATCGTCTTTGATCTGGTAGAGCACAGAGATTCTTCCTTCAAGTTCACAAATCTTCTGGCTCAGCTGCGCACAGCCATCACATCCAGCTGGAGAGCTGAGGGGAGGCATGGCCCAAAAACAACTCATAGATTAAAATAAAATATAACAAACAGTCCGTAGTTTAAAGTAGTCAGTGCAGGGGCTCAGACGGATAAAACTTTAGCACTTAAAACAAGGCTTAAAAAAGGTAAAAAAACAAAAGCTGGGTTGCCTAGTTGGGCTAAAAGCTAGGCTAAAAACAAAACAGCTTAGCAGTGGTGCCTGATGCTCTGCTCCGGCGCTGAGTGTTTGGTTACAGTTGTTCTTGCAACAGGTGGCACAACCAGTTATTAAGTTTATGGCCAGTTACTTTTTTAAATGGTCATTTTTTTCTCCAGTTCTCCTTGTTTTATATAACAGTTTATGAGTATCCCAAAAGATTCAGTGTGACAAAAATGCAAAATCAAAGGAAAACAACAGCGTCTCTTTCCTCTCAATCACCTGGGCTGAAGATAGAGATGGGACATTTATAGGACATTAGATTAGAAGGAGGAGAAATATATGAAAGAAAGCAATGAAAATACAGTGTTTGAATTTGAACAGTGTTTGAACTTTATTTAAGCTAAATGTCTCAGTGCTCAGGCCAGCAGAGTGAGCTCCAGTAGTGGGGCTGACTGGCTCTGTGCAAGAATCAAACTTAGGCCTCTAATACTAGAGACAAATAAACCACTGTAGTTGTGTCATCATTTTGTAGTTGGCGCCATACTCTTATGCCCATATTAGGAACTCTGGGTCTAAGCTTCATTTCTCTATGGCCAGAATGAACAGTGTTTTTGAAAAATCACCTCTAGCGCCCCCTGTGTTAAATAAAAATGTTCAGAACCTGATACGTTTTGTCCTGTGAACATTCTTCTCTCAAATACCACTGGATCCTCTGCATTACGAGGTCGTTAAAGAGTTGAAATATGAATATTGCTACATGTGAGCTAAAGCTACTGCGTACTGAATTCATGTCATTAGACTGGCAGCCGTAAGCAGGTTTGGCAGTAAACATTTCCAAGTACAGACTGAGGGGAAATGAAAAGGAGTCAGAACAACATCAGTAGGTTTCCCTGCAGGTTTCTGATCTTCATCTGATGCTCACTGAAACATGAAAGATCTTTCTTTTTAGCTTGATTTGAAAAGATCTACAATTGTACCTGCACTCAGGCTGATCCAGTACAGACTCAGCTTAATATCACTGCTCACCCCTGATAAACTGATTTAGGCTCTCAGAATATCCTTAATATTATTTTAATGCTGGTAACATTTTTCTGAGGATATTTTCTCAGGACATTAGCTACGTTTTTGTTCGACTTTTCCATTTCCACCTTGAATGGTGCAGCAGTCACATTCTGAACTGCTGCGCAGTTTAAGGTGGAACAGTAGCATTCAAACAAGAAGCTGTGAAAAAGAAGCTAAATTCAGCCTCGTAGTTTAACACAGGTTGTATTTTTAATAAGAAGTTTTAGTCTATCAAAATATCCCACTCAGAAGTTTAATTTACGGTCATACCTGTAAATATGCGCTACGGCAGAACATTTCGATAAGGTAGCATAACTCATCAGAGCACCGACACAGCCCACCTTGGTTTCGTGTAGCTTAGTGACGTCGAATTGGTGTGCAGTAGCTTTTTGATGTGCAGTTCCATTTTTCTTGTTCCATTGTCTTCGTTCTTCACAAAATCTCTTGCTAATCAAATCTCCTGGAGCTCCAAATCATAATGAGATTTTTATCATGTTGTAATTAGTTGTGTGAAGATGTTGAGTCAGTTTGTGTTTTTGTTCTGTCCTGTTCAGTCTCAGAGTGTTGATATATATTGTGATGATCCTCCGGGCTGTTTGGTTTATTTTGCTCTGAATGTGTTGCAGGTGAAATTGGGAGGTGAAGCTTGGACCTAATTCGCTACTGAGACGCTGGTGTGCACGTTTTTCTTTTAAAGGCTTTCCAATGTGGAGAGCTGGAGCCAGTTTTCTCTGTTTCTCTTTACTGCAGGTTCATTTTCTGGCCATCTTGGGGCTAATGCTATCAGGAATCCAGCGGGTTGGCTTCAGTAGGGCTGTCTTTGTGGTTTAAGTAGATCAATTTGAAAATAAAAACAAATTTTCGCTACAACTTTCACTCATTGTCTCTATCAGTTGTTTATTATGAACTGGCCAAAGGCCAATTATGTACTGCAGTTGGGTTTTGCTGCATTTAAATGCCATCTGTCCATCTTTTTCTTTCCTTTCTGCAGATTGTCTGGCTGTATGGTTACAGATGTAGGCTGTTCCTCTCTGGCTTCAGCTCTGAAATCCTCCCACCTGAGAGAACTGGATCTGACCTATAATCATCCAGGAGAGTCAGGAGTGAAGCTGCTGTCTGTTCTACTAGAGGATCCACACTGTAAACTGGAGAAACTACAGTGAGTTACTGACTTATTGTCTCTGTACACAGACTAAGTGTCATTATATACATTATTGACTGAAATGTTTTACTGTAGACGGGTTTGTTTTTGAATTGTGACTGAAGGCATTTTACACACTGAATTTAACTTCTTACAGACTGACTGAACACATCTTACACAGAGTTTAACTTCTTACAGACTGACTGAACACATCTTACACAGAGTTTAACTTCTTACAGACTGAACACATCTTACACACTGAGTTTAACTTCTTACAGACTGAACACATCTTACACACTGAGATTAACTTCTTACAGACTGAACACATCTTACACACTGAGTTTAACTTCTTACAGACTGAACACATCTTACACACTGAGATTAACTTCTTACAGACTGAACACATCTTACACACTGAGTTTAACTTCTTACAGACTGACTGAACACATCTTACACACTGAGTTTAACTTCTTACAGACTGACTGAACACATCTTACACACTGAGTTTAACTTCTTACAGACTGACTGAACACATCTTACACACTGAGTTTAACCTCTTACAGACTGAACACATCTTACACACTGAGTTTAACTTCTTACAGACTGACTGAACACATCTTACACACTGAGTTTAACTTCTTACAGACTGACTGAACACATCTTACACACTGAGTTTAACATCTTACAGACAGACTGAACACATCTTACACACTGAGATTAACTTCTTACAGGCTGAACACATCTTACACACTGAGTTTAACATCTTACAGACAGACTGAACACATCTTACACACTGAGATTAACTTCTTACAGACTGACTGAACACATCTTACACACTGAGTTTAACTTCTTACAGACTGACTGAACACATCTTACACACTGAGTTTAACTTCGTACTGACTGAACACATCTTACACACTGAGTTTAGCTTCTTACAGACTGACTGAACACATCTTACACACTGAGATTAACTTCTTACAGACTGAACACATCTTACACACTGAGATTAACTTCTTACAGACTGAACACATCTTACACACTGAGTTTAACTTCTTACAGACTGAACACATCTTACACACTGAGTTTAGCTTCTTACAGACTGACTGAACACATCTTACACACTGAGATTAACTTCTTACAGACTGACTGAACACATCTTACACACTGAGATTAACTTCTTACAGACTGACTGAACACATCTTACACACTGAGATTAACTTCTTACAGACTGAACACATCTTACACACTGAGTTTAGCTTCTTACAGACTGACTGAACACATCTTACACACTGAGATTAACTTCTTACAGACTGACTGAACACATCTTACACACTGAGATTAACTTCTTACAGACTGACTGAACACATCTTACACACTGAGATTAACTTCTTACAGACTGAACACATCTTACACACTGAGTTTAGCTTCTTACAGACTGACTGAACACATCTTACACACTGAGTTTAACTTCTTACTGACTGACTGAACACATCTTACACACTGAGATTAACTTCTTACAGACTGAACACATCTTACACACTGAGTTTAACTTCGTACTGACTGAACACATCTTACACACTGAGTTTAGCTTCTTACAGACTGACTGAACACATCTTACACACTGAGATTAACTTCTTACAGACTGAACACATCTTACACACTGAGATTAACTTCTTACAGACTGAACACATCTTACACACTGAGTTTAACTTCTTACAGACTGAACACATCTTACACACTGAGTTTAGCTTCTTACAGACTGACTGAACACATCTTACACACTGAGATTAACTTCTTACAGACTGACTGAACACATCTTACACACTGAGATTAACTTCTTACAGACTGACTGAACACATCTTACACACTGAGATTAACTTCTTACAGACTGAACACATCTTACACACTGAGTTTAGCTTCTTACAGACTGACTGAACACATCTTACACACTGAGTTTAACTTCTTACTGACTGACTGAACACATCTTACACACTGAGTTTAACTTCTTACAGACTGACTGAACACATCTCTCACACTCACTATCAAACCCTCTCATACACACTAACTCTAAGGTGTTCTTTATAGTGAGTGTGAGAGAACTTGATAGAGTGTATGAAAGAATTTGATGGTCGCGTTTTCTGATTGGCCCAGAGAGTTATCATTTAAATTAGCAGTTTCTGATTTGCTTATAGTCAAATATGCCCGTCCCCCACATGCGGTAGTTCACTCTTAAAAACAGATGGTTCTTCAAAGGTCCTTTAGTAAAGACAGTGGTTCTATATAGAACTAGGAACACAAAAAGAACCATTTGCATGATTAAAGAGCTCTTTTCATGGTGAAATGGTTCTTCTTTTTATAGTGACTGTGTTACAGCTCCAGACTTCACGATTAAAGCTGTGAGCTCCGCTGTCTTGTGTTCATATTGTTCATATGATACTGTGGTGGCTCCATTTTCGAGAAAGAGCTTTAGAGGCGTGTTATGCAGAGCTGAGCTGTGGCTCCACCCCTTAAGAGACAGTGTTGTGGTTTAATGATGTTAGTGTTGTTGTTCTGTTAGTCTTAAATGTATGTGTGTGTTATTGTGTTATTCTGTAGCCTCTCCTGTGTCGCCTTCCTCACCATCACACCCATCACTCATCTCAGAGTGAGGCACCAACAACCAGCGCCTTCAGTACATTAAACTAAACTCTCACTGCAGGACTCTGTGTTTGGCTTTAGGTCCTGATGTGCTGTTTGTTGTGAAGGAAAAGTGCAGATTAACCATTATTTACACACAGAAAAACAACAGAATAATAATAATAATAATAGTAATAATAATAATAATTTATATAGCACCTTTCATACATTAAAAATGCAGCTCAAAGTGCTTCACAATACAAAGTAAAAAACAACAGAGGAAGAAGAGAGAAAAAGATAATCAAAAATAATAAACAAATAATAAATAGAAGAAAATGGATTTATTCATAAATACAATTTAAAAAGCACAAGATAAAACTATAAATAAAAAGAAAGAGAAGACAAATAAAAATACAACAAGATTAACATAAAATTAAGTAATGTTCCAGTAAAAACAAAGAAAACAACAATAAACAACAAATTAAACACTAATGTAAAGAAAGTTGTAGTTTGTTGGTTGTACTTGCAGGATGTCCTGTGAACAAAGCATTACAGTAGTTAAGTCGAGAAAACACAAAATCATGGACCAGACAGAGATCAGGTCGGACTCGTGCTGTATTCCTTAAATGATAAAAAGCAATTTTGGTAATATTATTAATTATAATATGTGCATTAAAAGTTAAATCAGTGTCTAGATTTACACCAAGATTCCTACCTTTAGTTTTTATTTGTACAGCCAGATTTCCAAGTCTTTCATTCACCTTGTTCCTCTTTGCTTCACTACCAATTATAATTATCTCTGTCTTTTCTTCATTTAGCTTTAGAAAATTGCTGTTCATCCAGCTAACTATGCTGGACAGACATATAGTGAGCTTATCTACTGAACTGACATTTTCCGGGGCCACAGATATACAGCTGTGTATCATCTGCATAACTATGAAAATTGATGCCCTGCTTCCTAATAATCTGACACAGTGGCAGCAAATACAAAGAAAACAGAAGTGGATGTAGCACAGAGCCTTGTGGTACACCACAGAGATGACGATGCTTATCTGACATATGTTCACTTATGTTTACAAAATACTGTCTTCCAGTTAAATATATAGAGAACCGGTTTAACACAGTTCTATTAAGACCAACCAAGTTCTCAAGCTGATTTGAAAGTATTCTGTGGTCAATAGTCTCAAATGCAGCAGTTAAATCCAGAAGCATAAGTACCGAAACATCACCAGCATCAGCATTTATTCTCAGATCATTCACCACCTTCACTAAAGCAGTTTCAGTGCTGTGATTTGCTCTGAAGCCAGACTGGATTTCATTGTGTTCATTTAGGAATTCATTAAGCTGTGAAAGGCTATTTTTTTTTAATTAATTTACTTAAAAATGTAAAATTGGTCTGTAATTGCTAAGAACTGAGGGATCAAGGTTATGTTTCATCAATAGTGGTCTTACAACAGCTGTTTTGAGTGTGTCTGGAAAAGTGCCGGTTTCCAAAGAACAATTTAGCACAGCTGGACAAAGGCCGTCAAATACTTCTTTAAAAATGCTGCTGGAACAGGATCTAAACCACAGGTAGAGGAATTTAACTGCATGACAACTTTCTGAAGTTCTGTCTCCATGATCTTTTTAAAACTATTTATAGTGTTTTGCTGTTGAATAAAAATAGTTTATTGGTAGTTTTGAAGTAATAAAATGTGACCGAATGTCGGTGATTTTTGTATTAAAAATAATGCAAAATCATTACATTTTAATGTTGAAGCCTCCATGAGAATCATTGGTTAATTTAGGATCTAACACATGATCAATTACTTGTGTTCATATTAATACAGTTTTTAAGAATTTCATAATGAATAGTTAGTTTAGTTTTCCTCCATTTCCGTTTTGCTCTGCGTCCCTTTTCAACAGGTTTATCTGTTCATTTTTCCATGGCATTTTTGTGGTCAAGGACTTCTTTTTAGTCTTTTCTGGTGCAACATTATCTAGAACAGATCTTAGTTTACAGTAAAAATTATTGACCATGTCATGCACTGTTCAGTTAACATGTAGAGGAGGTTTGTAATGTACAGCATTACTAAAAGCAGCTGCTGTTGATGTTAAATAAATCATAATTCTGTGGAGCAGTTTCAGTCAGGGAAACTGTCCTGTCTGAACTAAGCCAGGTTTCAGTATCATAAAGTCCAGTTTCTGTTCTGAAATAAGGTCATTGACAGTGCTGGTTTTGTTAGTTAGAGCTCTTACATTCAGCAGTGCTGTTCTAAAATCTCTGTCTGACTCTGTTACGGTGCAACAAACTTAGAAACTCCAACTAACTTTAATTATTCATTTAGTTCCTGTAGTACGAACTGCATTTTGACTGCTTACTACAGTTTAAATAGAGGAGTAACCCTTAGTACCAGATGAGCTGCTGTTTGTTTTATTTACTTCTCTATTTTCACGTCACATTTTACTGATTTCTTTCTCGTAGTTCGAAGATAAAAACGTAGATCAGCGGAGACTTAGGTGGAGTCCGTCTCTGTGATAAAGAGAAGGTCTTTCCCAAAAAGGGTCTAACTGTCAGTAAAACCCAGGTTATTGTCCTCAGTCCACCTTTTCAGCCACTCGTTTAGCATCTGCTAAAAATCTCTTTTCCTCTTCTAAACGTTGGCAGAGGGCCAGAAACTACAGCTCTGGCTGTTTGTTCCTGTTCGCTACATAAAAGTGCTGTAAAATGGTCTTTTAAAGCTTCGCTCGCTCGACCTCGTGTGTTGTTTACTCCTGTGTGCACAATGACAGAACCGGCATCCAACCAGAGAGGGATAAAACAGACGCTTCACCTTTAGCTGGAGCCGAGTTCCCATTCCTCATGATCGAGGGAGGAGCAGAGGAGGAGAGAGAGCTCAGTGCTTTGAATCTGTTGCTGGTGGTGAATTGAGGCTGAGGTGGTGGAGGGAGGAGCAGAGGAGGAGAGAGAGCTCAGCACTTTGGATCTGTTGCTAGTGGTGAGTTCAGGCTGAGGTGGTGGAGGGAGGAGCAGAGGAGGAGAGAGAGCTCAGTGCTTTGAATCTGTTGCTGGTGGTGGAATAGTTACAAATATCAACTGGCCCAGCAGTGTGATTTAGAGCGGACTGGCCTAGCACTGTGATTTAGAGCCGACTGGCCCAGCAGTGTGATTTAGAGCGGACTGGCCTAGCACTGTGATTTAGAGCCGACTGGCCCAGCAGTGTGATTTAGAGCGGACTGGCCTAGCACTGTGATTTAGAGCCGACTGGCCCAGCAGTGTGATTTAGAGCGGACTGGCCTAGCAGTGTGATTTAGAGCCGACTGGCCCAGCAGTGTGATTTAGAGCCGACTGGCCCAGCAGTGTGATTTAGAGCGGACTGGCCTAGCACTGTGATTTAGAGCCGACTGGCCCAGCAGTGTGATTTAGAGCCGACTGGCCCAGCAGTGTGATTTAGAGCGGACTGGCCTAGCACTGTGATTTAGAGCCGACTGGCCCAGCAGTGTGATTTAGAGCCGACTGGCCCAGCAGTGTGATTTAGAGCCGACTGGCCCAGCAGTGTGATTTAGAGCCGACTGGCCCAGCATTGTGATTTAGACCTCACTAGCCCAGCAGTGTGATTTAGAGCCGACTGGCCCAGCAGTGTGATTTAGAGCTGACTGGCCCAGCATTGTGATTTAGAGCCGACTGGCCCAGCAGTGTGATTTAGAGCCGACTGGCCTAGCAGTGTGATTTAGAGCCGACTGGCCCAGCAGTGTGATTTAGAGCCGACTGGCCCAGCAGTGTGATTTAGAGCCGACTGGCCTAGCAGTGTAATTTAGAGCTAACTTGCCTAGCAATGTGATTTTAGTTTGGTTTTATCTGGACCGTAAGGTCTGAAGGGGGTTTTATGCCGTAACAGTCTGTTTTAGTCTTTATTTTAGTTTGGTTTTATCTGGACAGTAAGGTCTGAAGGGGGTTTTATACTGTAACAATCTGTTTAGGCTCTATTTTAGCTTTGATTTGATATGAAGTTTAATGAATGTATAAATGTGTGTGTTTGTTCTTCAGGGTGGATCATGGAGGAAAGATCAGGATCAAACCAGGACTGAAGAAATGTAAAACACACACACACACACACACACACATATACACTACACACTACACACAAACACTCACATATATACTATACACACACACACACTCTCACATATATACTATACACACACACACACACACACACACATCGACACATTTTTGTACAACTGTACATATCATACAAACACACCATACACACATGTACCTTGACATATCTTACACACACACACACACCCATACACATCATACACACCCATACACACACATACACTGTACACACACAAACATTATATACACTCACATTAAAATTCTCTGTCTCCTCTGTGTGTCTGTGTGTGTGTGTGTGTATCTGTGTGTGTGTGTGTGTGTGTGTGTGTGTGTGTGTGTGTGTGTACAGATGCTGTTCATCTCACTCTGGATCCAAACACAGTGAACAGTCGTCTCTCTCTGTCTGAGGGGAACAGAAAGGTGAAGTGGGTGAGAGAAGATCAGTCGTATCCAGATCATCCAGACAGATTTGATCATTATCCTCAGGTTCTGAGTGTGGAGAGTCTGACTGGACGCTGTTACTGGGAGGTTCAGTGGAATAAAGACGCTGATATATCAGTATCATACAGAGGAATCAGGAGGAAAGGAGGCAGTGTTGACTGTGAGTTTGGATCCAATAAACACTCCTGGAGTCTGATCTGCTCTGATAACAGTTACTCTGTCTATCACAATAAACAGAGAACTGATCTACCTGCACCCCCCTCCTCCACTAACAGAGTAGGAGTGTATCTGGACTGGGGGTCCGGCACTCTGTCCTTCTACACCATCTCCCCTAACACACACACACTGACCCACCTACACACATTCACCACCACATTCACTGAACCGCTCTACGCTGGATTCTGGATTTATGACTCAGTGAATCTGTGTGAGACAGAATAACCTCTACAGAGAGAGAGAGACACAAACACAGAGAGAGACAGAAAGAGAGAAAACAGAGGGTGGGCAGAGAGAGAGTGAGAGAGATAGACAGTGAGAGAGAGACGGGGGGGGTGGGGGGGTCAGGTTGGTTGAAATGTGTTTGTTGTTTATCAGTTTGATCTCAGACTGTAAATATGAGAGAAATCAAACCTTTCTGTGTTTAAATTATTCAGAATAAATAAAGAGAATAAAATAAACTGTTTTCTCTAAAATGTGATTCAGAAAAAGATTCACTAAACAGAAACACACAGACATGAGTTTATAAATGAGATACATTTCAGATTCACTGTTACACACACACACACACACACACACACACACACACACACACTCTATATAAACACACTCATACACACACTGTACACACACACTTATCACACACACACTCTATATAAACACACTCATACATACACACTGTACACACACACACACACCTTGTTCTACTGCATTTATGTTTATTTTCATTTGTTCTAATGGTATGTAGACGTACATTCACACACATAAACCTTATAGACAGAAGCTGTTATCTGTATTTAGCTGAGTCTGTTTCTGAGAGACGGAGATTCTGCTATGGAAACGGGCAACATTTCCTTTACTGCGTCCGACAATACAGGCCTGTTCATCTCTGCACTGAAAAAAAGTCTTAAACACTCAAATGACTGGCAGCAACAATTAGTTAAATATAATTCAAAAAAGGACAAAAACAATACATTTACAGAAAAATTCAATAAAGGTTTTACAGATAAAAACTGTTATTTTACAGATTTGTCTGAAATCATTGCGATCAAACACCTTCAATAAAGCAACAGCATGAAGAAAACTAAAATCTCAAAAACCAACATGAGCTTAAAGACTCAATGCAGTTTTTTGGTGAACATTTAACCTGAGCTGTCACACCGGACCATCCGAAAAACTCACTTTACACCACATAAACATCTTGACGTAATTGCCTTGATTAGATTTAACTGTCTTTGATCTTTGACTTGGTTAGATTCTGAATCAGCTGCAGGTAGAATTCATACTGCTGATGTTGAAGTAGCATCTCAAATTTCAGTGGGACTCATGGTGAACATGCAGCTCCTCCGTCAGACACTCATTACTGAAGCACTTTCATCAAGTCCTGACATGTTAACCTTGTCCCTCTGAGAACCAGTAGCCAACCGTGACTCTTAGCCCTCGGCCCTCTGATTATGATAGTTCAGCCCTAGAAATGCAGTGAGGAAGCAGCTCTGAGAGGGTTATCATCTACACAAACAGCTCATTTCTTGGGCAAAGAGCAAATCCTCTTTACAGGTGATCGCGTCATCATACATGTACAGGTGCCAGAATGGAACCACTGAACGATTTAAAGTGGAAGGGATTCAAATGAGAAGCTGGTGCAGTGGTCAATGTGTTCAGTAGGAGTTCAGGCTTCAGTAGATCTCTAACTAACATAAACCCAGATTCTCAAAGTGTGTTTTCATATTAGGATCAAACTACACTGCTTCTGTGATGTGGACGTTACATTATGACATAAATTCATATTTATCACTAAATACAACACCGTACCTCAAAATCCCACGTTCTGTGAAATTTAAGATGACGTAACTTAGGCTGCGTCCCAAAACGCCCATTTCTGTGTTTGACATACTGCACTAATGAACACACTTCCAATGTTGGAACTCAATTTTTACACACTATTTAGTGCTGTAGTTTGTGGTTTGGGACGCAGCCTAAGTTTTCTGAAGTTGGCACTGACGCTGCCATGTGACGTCAACTGAAAGCAGCAGGCAAAAATGTTCCGGCATGAGCCGATCAGGCTGCTGTTTTACAGCCATTTGATGGATTTAACCAAACTGAGCTCTCAAAACTCTCCAGGGACAAATTTTAAGTTCACTCAGGTTTTGTACAGCAGCATATTAAGCATTAGAACTCCTCCAAAAGGGCACTAAACATTCTGAGAGAAAAGGGGCAGCTGACTCTCACTTCGTTTAAGGGAAAGATGGCGGTGAATGTATAAGCTGGGGATGAGAACTCCACGAAACGTTGCTCTTTAATCAGCTTTCTGTTAGGTTACCTGTTACTGAGCATCACATGTGCACATGTAAACATCAAATACAGCCAACTAGAACTGATACACATCAGCTCTGTGCACAGCAGGAGTTATTTAACAAGGAGCACCCAGATCATAACCTCCCAGCAGAGTTCATCAGACTGACAGGGTCTCCGTGGATTATAGTTCCAGCTGGGAGGTGACAAAGTCAGCGGAGAGAGAGGAAGCAGAAACGTGGCTGTCAGGTCGGCAGACGTGCTAGGCTAGTAAACAACCTGCACAAACCTCCACTGCCAGGTCTCTTCATCTCCAACACAAGATCACTCACCAATAAGATGGAGTAGCTGGAGCTCATCATCTCTACACAGAACAACATACAGGACTGCTGCATTATGGTCATCACGGAGACGTGGCTCAACCCAACGACGCCACATGAGGCTACTGAACTAGCAGGGCGTTCAGCACATCAAGCCAACAGGCCCAGAGATTCTGGTGAGAGTAGGGAGGAGGACTGTGTTTATACACAAACAACTGGTGCACAAATGCTGAGATCACTGATACTCACTGCTCTCCAGACTTGGAGTATATTATCAATAAATGTCCTCCGTTCTATCTGCCAGAGGAATTCACAGTTACCATAATGACTGCTGTTTACATGCGTCCAGACGCTGATACTGCAGGTGCCCTGGATATTTACTAACTGCCATTAGCAAATAACAGAATGTCCATCCAGACTGAGCATTTCTAATGAGAAAGTGGGACCAGATACTGCCGATACCACCATCTTGCTCCAGATACCAACAGCCTGCTGACGTCATCTGCACAAAAGCAGCTGGTCCAGATGGTGTCCTAGGACGGGTTCTCAGAGACTGTGCTGCAGGACTAGCTGAGGTATTTACAGACATATTCAACCGATCCTTATCACACATGTGCTGCAACTATCAGTCCTCAGTTCCCAAACGATTACAGTGTAATTAAAGGAAAGGTGATGTAACAGAGCGGTAAACAGGCCTCTTTACCAGCTTTTACTGAGTGTGGTGCAGGAATCAAGTTCTACACTTATGTATATTTACAAAACACAGTTAAAACTGTGGAAATCTTTTCTTTGTACTTTGTCAGTTAAATAAAGGTTCAGGAGAGAATTAACAAATCACATTCTTGGTTTTATTGCATTTAACAAAATGTCCTAACTTTCCTGAAATGGAGTTTGTATCTTATCTTATCCAGGATCAGTACAGTCATAAACTAGATTAACTGACTATCCAGGATAAACACAATCAATAAAGCAAGTAACTGGCAGTTCAGGATCAACACCATAAGCAACAGGATTAAATTGCTATCCAGGATCAATAGTCATGAACTAGATTAACTGGCTGTCGATGATCAGTACAATCAACAATATGACTAACAGGTTATCCAGAATCAGTACAGTCATTAACTGGATAATAACAGTTTATGACTGTATCGACCCTCCAATAAATCTAGTGATCAACTAGATTAATTGACAATCTAGCATTAATACCATCAGTAATAGGATTAAGTACTTTCCAGGATCAATACTGTCAATAAAAGGATTAATTTGCTATCTCAGATTAACACAGTCATTAATTGACTATCCAGGATCAGCAGCTATTGGCTACCCTGGACAAGCAGCTCATCATGCTGTGAAAAGTACTACTAAGTTTGCTAGCATGCTAACTAGATAAGCTTTAGGTAGCTCATAAGTTGATCTGTTGGGTATTTGTGAATGTTGTGAAACATATCCTTAAAAAAATCACACTTTTCTTAGTTTTACTGTTTGCTAAACACAACCTAACTAGCCACATAGCCAGGTAGCAATGCTACATGATAAGATAACTGACTTGCCTGTATGAGAGACTCAACATTATCCATCCACACTATCTGTCAGTTGATGAAATGGCTTTAGTAACATTTTGTACCCATTTGTTTTATCCTAATACATTTCAGTATAGAAAAAGCTCATAGACAATATATTTGTGGAGTTACCTGTTGTTCTGCATGAGCAGGAGGCACTGCTAGGAATTTGAAAAACAGCAAAGGCGTAGGCTGATGATGTAACAAATTGTTGATTGGACAATAGTGGTGTTTATCCAGGAGAAGAAAATAAATGATTGTCCAGGATGAGTCGCCACTTATGAAATCACATCGTGCCTCACGCCCTAGGACAGAATAAATCAGAGCTACTTCCAATAACAAAGGGGGTCCCTCAAGGTTCGATCCTTGGACCAGTATTATTTAATATTTATATAAATGACACTGCCACCTCAATTGTTGACTGCAAAGTACACTTATATGCTCGACTGACTGTATTGGTACTGCAGTAGATAAACTACTGCATTCTTTTAATGTCCTACAATCGGCTTTTTACAAACATAAACTAGTTTTAAATATTGAGAACTAAATTTATGCTGTTTCCCACAGCCTCTAACATTGATTTTAGCACTTTTAACATCACAACCCTGAAGGGATCTGACACTGAAAGAGTCAATGAGTACAAATACCTCGGCATATGTCTGGATGACAAATGCACTTTTAAACAACATGTTAACAAACTTACCTGTAAACTCAGACAAAAACTTGGTTCCCTGTATCGTAACAAAGTATGTTTCCCAAAGCACACAAGGAAAAAGATCAATGAAGCAACATTATTGCCTGTTCTGGATTAGACGTGTTATACAGATATGCACCTGTAACTACTCTGAAATCTCTAGACTCTGTATACCTGTATATCACGCTGCCTTAAGATTCATTACTGGTGACCCCTACAGACCCATCATTGTATAGTATATGAAAAAGTTGGCTGGTCATCTCTATCTGTGCGTCGTGAGACACATTGGCTTCTTTTTATCTATAAAGCTCTTACTGACCGTTTTTTTCATCGTACAACACAGAAATGCTCAGGGTAAATAATGCAGTTTATCAGACTCATTCCAGTGATTGGATCAACCTTGAGCTGGCCCAACATTACACATCCTCGTCTGAGCCCTCTCCCCAGTGTGATTG